TGGTTTCTATTTGCTGTGTAGCTATAATTCGGCTATTCACTCATTCCACTAACTTCATAGAAGGTAGAAACCCCAGGCTTCAGTAACTCAACACGTTGAAAAATTGAGGTGAGGAGGAAGCTCTGACAAGGAACTTGACTGGAGTGTACCTTCATTAAACTCGGGGGACTGTACTTTGGGGGTTATAAACACATGAATTTGGACGATCAATTAGGTCCCTCCGTTCCTCGGATCAGTGGTGGCAGTGGCTTAGCATAGGGGGGTGGGTGTGGTCGGCTTTGGGGGGCATGTGACAAATGATGATTTAGTACTAAGTATAAATTCATCTATTTACCTCATGACTAAAATATAAAATGATAATCATGCTGAAAGATAAAATTGGTATTATAAACTTTGATCACCGGGAAACAGTAAGTGATATTGAACGCATGGATGCAGTGAGAAATCTTTGGAATGCTGATGTAGAAGATGTGCGCGACGTTGAAGCACTGGAAGTGCAAACACAGTTTGGCATGATAATATGCACATCAATCGATTTTATTGATATCTATCAGTGGCCTGTTAAGATTGCCCATGAAGTTCTCCCTATATTTGTAAGGCTCCTATTTAATGTTGGAAAGCACGTCGAGCGGTATTGCAATAAGTGCTGCTACCTGGAACGAATACAAAGCAGAGGCTAAGAAGTTAACAACGAACTCGTTCTTTCAAAAGTTGCGACAAATAGAGCAATGATTGAGAATACCATTATGTGGTTACCTCTAAAATTAGCCCTGTTTTGTTTCATCCGCAGCATATATTCAACTGGGTGGTCTATTTTATGGAATGATGAGGGTTACAGAAACAGGTGGAAATTAAATCCAAAAGCTTATGAACAAGCATCTGGTAACCGGTGTGCTCACTCATTCACCAACAGCAGAGCTGACAATCCGTCTGGTCGAAGAAAGGCAATTGGAGAAAAGACGTGGCGTCAACTTTTGACTCGAATACTTGATATAGTCAGGTTTCCCATCAAGAAAAACAGGACACAATGTGGTCTCCAGTACTCATCCAGAATGACGAAGGTGGCCAGGAAGAAAAGAGAAAATTTTTCAGAATTTATACATTTGTTCGCGAAGTATGGAGCGATTCCTCGTGAACATTGGTGACAGTTCAGCAGGGAAGGACAATCAGAATTATTATTTTGCCCTCATACCTTCAAGATTAATTTGTGAGCATTTTGGTACAACAGAATTGAAAGACAATTCTAACTCAAGACAAGGACACAACTATGTTTGCTTAAGTTTTCATAGCAACCGATATATCTCACAGAAACCAGGTGAGTTGAAATGAGTTGAGCTAGAGTCGTTTCTCAGCTTCATTATGAATACGGTGAAAGAGCAGAAGTAATTGCTGGACTTTTTCGGAGAGAAGGGACGAAGCAGGGAATTCGGATTGTTGACAACCGTGGCCAGGCATTAAACAATGCCGCTCTAATGAAGGGCTTCCAATCAGGTCTACGGATTCAATGCAATCTACATTTGTGGCATGTACAAATAATTCAATGAATCTGCCTAGTGTTCAGGAACCTTCTCCAACTGGTCATTCTGTTACATTTCGTAAAATGAACCCGTTATTCTCACTCGTTTTTACCTCTAAAAATTGCAGGATTATCTTGATTCAAGTCGCCGATCTAAGTAGAAAATGGCTGGTAAATCTAGATGGCGTAATCGAGCAGGCGCTGCAAAGGGTGTGATGAAGAAATGCTCAGAACTAGTCACTTCTCTAAAACATTCCACAGATTAATAAGAATATGTAACAACAAGGTCAGATGTATCTAATACTTGCCTCGGTATTGACCTTACCTTTTATTTCGCTTCGGAGACTTTCGAAGTCTGTTCTCACTCATGGATGCGTAGAAATATCTAGCAAAGAGCCGGGTACGTAGTAAAGTTTTGTCAAACCTAAAATTTTAAAGCTTTTCTTTTTCATTGTGGAGAGAAAATCATTGAAATTACATGGGATGAATCAGGAACACTACATTGCGTTGGGGGTAAGCAATGAGTGCCGAATCCGCCGAGGGAAATAAATGGACGGAGAAGGATGGTTTGATATATCGAGGAGGTCAAACATGAAATGCTTTCTATCATGGATAGACAAATGGTGTAGATTTCAACATACTGATGACCATGCCAACAAGTATGCTTTTCTTACACTGTTAAAGCTGCTTGATAATAAATCTGATTGTTCGCTTAGCGAACTTGAGGAAGATATAGAAGAAGAGGAATTCCTTGTCGAAAGAAGGTTACAGTACTTCTTGAAATATTCAGAAACTGGCAAAACTGATACAGAAATTTCATCTTTGAAAGCTGCCGCGCATCTTTCTTCCAAAACTGTTAGTACATTCTCAAAACTCAAGATGAAAACAAACTACCTTCAGTCATCAATGAACGCAGTAAAAGGGAATTTCATTTATGATTTCAGATCAGAATGTGTTTTATGTTTACAGATGGGTATATTATTAGCAATTTACAATATCGACTACGTATTGGACGAAATTACATTATCAGAACTTTAAATTCAAAAAAAATTGGAATCTGACACCTTGTACAGTTGCTATTTGAGTGACCGGTCAGCAGGAAGGAGTAACAAGTAAACCTTTCCGGATGGAATACTCTAAAGCTGCATTCTCTCTGGAGGCCAGCGTTGAACTTGGACCTCCAATCGCGACAGTCCACTTTGATGTGCGCAGTATATTGAACTTTTCTCAAAACGTAAGCGAAGGTTAACAATCTAGACCTTGTGAATAGTTTGACAAAGCTCAGTTTTGAAGTATTCCGAGAAAACTATTAAATCTATATCGATTTGTTAAAGCTGTTCTCACGAAAAACGGCAAGGCCGATTAAAACGCCCCGCCAGTACCCTAATGGACTGAATGTTGTTGGTGTTTTCAGCACTATTTCTTCAAGTACTGCACGAAAGATGCATCTGTTGATTTTGCTCAAACGTTGTAGCAATATTACTACCTGCATTTACCGTACTACTTTAAAGTTGATCATTGTTATTATATGAATCCAAATATATAAGGTCTGTTCGCAATTGTGTTGGATTACGGACTTACAACTGCCAGGGTGAGAACGATGTTACGTCCGCTCCGGGCGGCAAAAGTAGTTACTATGCCACTGTATAGTAGAAATAACATTGCATTCACGAAAATTCACTACAGTGGGAGTTGTTACCAGCACTGATAGGGATTATCAATTTTGTGTGCTTGGATGGTACTGCGCGCATTTATTTACCGACAATGGCCCGAATCGATACGAACTATGTTACTCCGGTTACCACTATCTCTAAGTCTATCAGTTAAGTGATGCATGCTTAAGATACACAGAAGACTATGAGTTAGCTCACATACCGAGGAGGAACTGTAGGAGACTTCAGAATTTTACCAGCGATATTGCGGCATCATACAACACGGCACCGGACCACCATGTAAATAATATGAATGACTCCAACGGCGAGTGTGTGGAATGTGGCATATATTACGGCAGCAACATAGTACAATGTTCGGAAGAATTATATACATTTGTTAGTAGGTACCTCTGGCCCCTGTCTTTACTTTTTACAGTCCATAAAGTTCGAACTCCACAAACTGTGTAAAACAACAGTCGACTTGCCATTGGTAGCATGGCCCGATACGACGTCTGTGTGTGGTCCAAAATTTTATATAATATATTAAAAAAATAATCGCAGTTCCGTGGGCTCCATTCATTTTAACCGAATCTATCTTGGATACACGGAATCGGACCCAAAATGATAATTTGCTTTTTTCACTGTTAAAAACATATTCGTGGATGATTAGTGATTATGGCAAATCAAACTTATTCGCACCTGATGTCGGTTAGACGCATTCTGAAGCGCTCTGTTGCACTATATATATCACAGGATAATTTTTTACCGATAAACAGAATTTGGTTTTCAAACGCTGATTGCAATTATGAATTGGAACGTCTGGTGCAATTTGTCACGTTGAATGATCGACAAAAGCAACACCTACACATTGAGGTACCCGAATATATGTTTCATATATTCCAAAGCGCAATATGCAAAATTAGACAACTGTGTGTGAAGGAATACAGACCGTTATCTTTTCTGCTAGTTTACTTAATTTCAACTATGAGAGGCATAATGTTCAAATCTTTTAGTGAGCGTGCCTGCGGAAATGTTGGTTTTGTGAGACAGGAAATGAATCTTCTAGTTATACGAAGGAGAATTTATGGTTTACAGTTAGCGTCCAGCAGTTTAGCCCTCTATTCTCCTACACATGCCAATGGTTACTGATAGTTTCCCTTCGCCTAAGGACTTTTATCCCTTGTATCCTTTATCATTTGTGTTTTTCTGTTGCCAAATATAAGAGAGTTGAAGACGATGGAATTTTCCGGTGTTAACTATTACGGTCTTCGGGTCTAATACGCTTAGTTGTATTATCAAATAGTTGATGACATGAATATAAGTAACGCTTTCCGCTTGCTGATGCATTCCTGCCTTGTTCTTCTAGAGAGGCAGCCGATTACCTTCTCTGCACAACGCCTGGATTGTGGGTAAATTTGGGTTGCCCCTGGCGTTTTAATTATTTAACGCTTTCAGTTTGCCGCAATTGGACAATGTTTGACCAAATATTTACAAGCACAGGTGAGACTCGGAGTTCCGCGCAACAATTATACTGTCCTGTTAGTCGAACTAGGTTTAAAGTTATGCTTTTCCTCAATTTATTCCACTCAGGTAAAAATAGCTGGACAACTTATTGCATTCGGCTACCGCGCTAAAATTTAAATCGTCCATGTGCCCAATAAGCCATCCATGAAATTGGCCAGATGATAGTTATTCCGTCACAAGGCCTGGCTAATCACATCAAATGAACGTTGCTTTTGCATTTATTAAAGAACACGGTGTATCCGCCTCTATGGATAGGCATAGCTGGAAATTGTTTGAATGCGCTCCTCCATTACCTACTGCTCTACGTGATGAAAGTCGGTGTCCGGTAAGCAGCGTTCGGTTTCCGCCTTTGTAAATTATGTATAATTCAACTTAAACTCACTTATCTCTCTGTTAGCTGTACTTTTACGTACTCAGATAATACAGCTACTTTTGTATCATTGCATCATCTGACGTGCATATGAGTAGGTATTGTAGTGTTCCTCAGGAGAGAGCCAGAATACCCCAGTCCAGTTGCGTACGAACCCATTTTGATGCGGCAGGTTTGCCCCAGTTTACTGAGTGAGCTCAAATTGAGTGCTTTCGCATACAGCGTCCGCACCCGCGCAAGCTCAATGGAGGTCATCAGCAGCGCCGCCCAAGTGCCAAATAACCATTGTGTTTAATGTAAAATACTGAACAGAATTATGCCACCTGGAACACGAGTTTCTCGGAACCGGACACTAAGAATTTGCTATGTCCAATTGTGTAACATGTTAGAGAATATGCTGTAGTTATGTTTATATTTACCCTGAACAGCAACTTGGACCTTATTCACTGCCTAGTAATCCTCAACTTTACCTGTCCGTACCATTATGAATATGCAAGCTGCCTACTATTAGCACGTTTGCCCTTATTGCAGGACCAATAAAGGAGGTTGCGGCATCCTTTATGACAATGACATCTAATTAAACTGCACATGAGAAATCAGTTACGGACGAAGCTAGGCACTTTCCAGTCATTATTAATGGATTTTTGGTACCAGCTTAACTGCTCGTTGAGCTTGGCAATTTCGTTAAGAACGTTTCGCCTCTAATCGAGGTGACATCACTAGTGTACCATGGAGTCACCTCGATTGGTGACGAAACGTTTGATACAAAATTGCCAAGCTAAACAAACAGTTCAACTGCTATCAGCACAGTCTGTGCCACCAACTTGTTGCTTTCACTTCATAATTGGATCCAACAGAAAAGAAGGCATAGTCAAAAGTCCCTGCATAATAAGCTCTACCCATGCGTGCTGCGCAAGCCTAACATGACTACAAGTGTTGGATCGTTGCTGTATGTCAACTCTACCATTTTTGTCATTCTTAATTATTTGGGCAAAATGGATTCTTGAATTCCTCTTGATGCAGTGAAATTTAGGAGGGTATGAGGTGGTATACGGAAAGCATAATTTTCCCGTCCGCATATAGCGCAGAATAAATGTCCCTTCCGAGAAAAATACTGTACATACTGTACATACATACTGTACATAAATGTAAGACGATGAAATGGCAGACCTACCAATCACAGACTTGAGTTGGTAAAAGTTCCAATACAGCATACAACGTTAGTTATGCAAACTAATATGATTCCGAATAAAAGAACATACCAAGGAAGTTACATTCTAACATATTCCGAAATATCTGATGTAGGTTGCGCAGATTACTACAAGTTTGAAATGTGTTATAGTCGAAAAACTCAAGGTAAAATCATGGAGTTATACAAGATACAATTCATTTATCGTTTATTCAATAAAGACATCGGCACATGGGCAAGTGGTTCGTACGATTCAGTTTAGTACAGTGTGTGAACATGGATATCTAGCGGTGGTGGATTTCAGCCAAGCGGGACAAGATGGCCCATCGACGTCCAATGTATGCTTGTAAATCAGTGGCTCTCGTCTGACTGCAACACGCATTCAAATGGGTTTATAGTGGGAATTTAAGTCTGACATATTTCATGCTACTGAGGACCACGCTACCCTTGTTTTCTCAGAGGACAGCTTATTTGCTGCAGCTGCGGTCCCAAGATGTGATCGTAAGAATTACTTGACAGATGCGGATATAGCTACCTACATCTTCATTGCTCCGGTTGTATTGTGGTTCCCTACTGCACATGCGCTAATTGTTGGTTGAACGTGTGGCTGAATCTATAACGGTTCATTGGAGTTAGTTCATTTTAAACTCACCGGATTGGTTTCGACATCCAGTCGTGAGCTGCTAGAAAGCCGAAAACCTCAAATGAAAATGTATGGGTACTAATAAAAGGTTGACAAATAATGTATGACGTTGAGTTACATCTCGGAGTTCGGGTAGATTTAGCCGAAAAATTACGGCTACGTAATAGATCAAATGCAATTGCTGAGTCGAACACAGGTTGATATCTGGTGTCATGTGTGGATTTTACATTTGAATATGTTTCGCTTTTGTTTAACGATTTAAGTTCGTGCGTCGAACGTGTGCATACGAATTTTGCAACCTTTTCACTTTCAGCGGATCAGCTTTCTCTCAAGTGATCACGTACGCATTCCAATTTGCCTCTCTTTTGGCATACGTCATCGTTAAAGAGAAGAAGGACAATAACTGGGCAGGTTAGTAAGCTTGAACAAGGTGCGAGTATTCAGTCAAATCAGCATCAACTCTCACATGATTTCAGGTTCCAACACTTGAATACGCCTACTTGTTTGCCTTGTTTATTTCCTTCGAAATGACCACTCATCAGATGTGTGGGTGACAGATACTCATTTGTCCCAAAAAGAATTCAAAGTATGCAGGACAGTGATGAAAAAATGAAGCGCAACTTTTGTTTCGATGTATATAGCCAATGCTAAAATGTGGGTCCAGTTGCAAACATCAACAACGTTGTTTATTCAACTGCCATTAAACTAAGTATCAGACAAATTTAACCCGATGAGGGTAAACCAGTAATTAATAATAATAATAATAATAATAGCTACGTTTCCCCTGATGCAAAAAACTGTGTCTATGGCGGCACGAAACAAGTTGTACAGAAGTATCTATGCTCTTAAATTGGAGACATGCATAGGTGGAGTATTGTGATATGCGTTTCATGTATTAACATTCTGGCTGTTGGTTGAAACCAAAGCCTAGTTATGAAAATATTGGTGTTTAGATGATTTTGGGCCCCTCTTGGAATAGCTCATAGACGGATTTTCCCAGGTGTACATAGTGATTATTGTAGTTGGATCAATGTAACTGGTGAATCTGCTTCTAAACGTTTTCACATTGTCCCAAGCCTTGTGTTGTTAGTAGTTTATTACACAGATAGCTATATCTTCCATGGAAGAAAGTAGCGCAAACGTTCGTTCTAGTCTTTGGTATATTTAATGTAAAACCTTTGTTGTGAAACGCTCGAGTTGAACAACGTTGTAATTCGAGTGTTGGCAGGTCCGTATAGGTGTTTTCGTTTAACATGTTGAAAAGCAGCAACAAGTTGTGCTTTAGTCGCCGAATCCAAAGTGGTTCAAGATGGCGTTCATTGCAACGTTCTCGATAAAACTTTGCAGAAGGTTTACCAATCAGATGTTTAGTAAACGACATCTGCAGGTGCTCCACAGCGATTCTGTCACCCTTGCTCATATTGCCGTATCTTATGCTGCTGTATTCATGGATGGCGTAAGTGAGTAGCTTGAAAAGCTCAACAATAGCATGAATTGTGTGGATTTTGCTTAGAAAGATGAACCTCAATTGTCTGGCATGTACTATTTGGTATTGGGCCTGTCGGCGATATCGAAGGTAAATGTGTGCCTACTTTCACAACTTCGCATGGACAGCTGTATGGGGGCGCGTTTATTGTTTAGGGCAATAGATCTTCGGGGATGCAACGGCCGCAAGACATGGTGGTTGATTTCTTAACCGATTGGTTCATCACGCATGTGCGACAGCATGGCTCAAGAGAATGTAAGTCATCTTGAATGAGCAGTAGCGACCTGTTAAGCTCGTCACGCCGAAGCTTATAGAGGATCTTGATACCGTCAGCAAATAAAAGTGGCGTATAATGTTTTACACGTTTGGTGATGTCATTGATGTAGGGCAGAAAGAGTGAAGGACCGAGTAAGCTCCACTGAATAACCCAACTATTGATGGAGCATGGAAAAGAGCGATAGCAATTAATTTGACTATCTGACGACGACTGCTCAGGTATGATGATAACCAACCTAGTAATGAGTCCCGGATCCCTTTTATAAAAGTCGTTTGTGAAGTACTAGGTCGAATGCTTGGTGTATGTCAAGAAACAGGAGTATTACTGCATAGCTGGAATCGATTGATTCTGAAATGTGCTTCAGCTAATGCAGTTGACATTTGGTGCGCAATCGCTTGCTAAGAAAACCATGCTGCGCATTAATGATGAGCCCAATGGAATCGAAAAATTTCATCATCTCCCTTCTGACCAGTTTTTCAAATAGCCGAGTGATTGTCGGAGTTTGGTGTATCGGTCGATAATTATCAATCGTTTGTTTGGGACCTTCTCTGTGCTGAGGCATAATAAATGACGTTTTTCATTGGTCAAGAAATTGCCTAGATTCAAGCGACAGGGTAAACATGTGCATAAGACCAGTGGTAGTTCACCATCTCTTATTTTAATGGTTGCTGGTGAAATGCCAGCAGATCCCAGATTGGAAGATGGCATGATTGACTTCATAACTTGACGGGTAGAGTCGGGTGAGATATTGACTCTGCTTAAGTGGTTTGTTGCTGTAAGCTCTGCACACACAGACACAGGGTCACCTTCATGACTCATGGTATTGGCAATAATGTCACTGATTGCTTCACAGATTTCAGCTGGGTCATGGAATAAGTAGGAGCTAATTGACGAATAAACCCGCATAATTACTTACAAGCGTATAGTATGGAACATAGAGTATAGTCAGTATTTGGAGCGTAATTATAATGTAAATAACTTCCAGCTGTATATAATGTATTCAGTAGGACACCCATGTTGATGCAATTGCTTATTCGGGAAGCCGATGGACTATGGCTGTGAACATATAATCAGCTTAAATTAAAATTCTGTTTGCGTCGAAAGGCTATAATTGCTTGAGAACGTAGGTGTTTAAGTGAGTATCTGCATTTCATTTTCTAACCTCCTGTCTACGGTAATTGCATACACAACAACCGTGTTTAATAAATGTTTCAGTACTATGGTCGGGTTACCAAAAGATTTTGGCTAATGTTCATTGGTTCGCATGATTTTAGCATATATTCCAACTAGTCAGCAGGGAGTAAGAACTGATGAGCAAACACAACCTGCTAACATGAACATCAAGCACTGAATCAAGCTGTGTCCTATCCACCTGAGGTAAAGAAATTTCTTGGTACGTATCTGCAGTTAGGATGACTAGGTTTTGCCCAAATTCGTGTGAAATGACGGCTGCGTAAGTTTGATCAACCCAGCGTCTTTTTGCGTTCGCCTTCAGTAATGTATCTCACACTGTGTGCATACACCCTGCCATCAATAGCATTAACCGAGTGTTAAGGAAGGCACAATTTTTACTGTGCTCATCATTCCTAGGCCATCCGGTTATACCTTAAAACCTTAAAGGACGAAAGGTATTTGGACAACTCAATCGTCTGGGACCCGATCAATTCTGCCTCAGCATAAAAATAATCCGTGGAAATGACAACCTGCCTGCCGGCAATCTTATACCGGCGTTTGTTACGTAAAATCAAGATCGATTGGCGGCATCCGTATCCGAATTTGCCTGTCACTGTGGCCTTCACGGGACAACCAGTGGAAGTGTGCCCCTAGAAAGGGACCATGGATGGATTGCGCTGCATCACTAACAGTTCCACCTATCTACCGTGTGTAAACGGAAAGAAATAACACCGAGAGCCATGTGGATTGTAGCCACTTTTTATCAACGGCGCCGACCCACATTCTTTCAACTAGGAAAACGGAAACATCTATCCCAAATTACGAAACCATGGGTAGCAAACGTACGAAAGACGGTGACTGTTGAAGAAAAAAGAAATAAGTAATTGCTGTACAAGCAACGTGCCAACGTACTGAAGGAAATGACGTTAAAAGGCAAAACCATGAGACAATTTACCATTTTTCACACGTCGTGATCATAAGATTTGTATATCGACTTAGTTAAAAATAAGAGCATATTTTAATTTCTTTACCCCTAAGTCTGTTATCTCTAGAATGAATGTCACGGTATCATTTGCTGCTGGCGTCCTTAAACGTGAGCTAACTGCAGCACATGGAAAAAAACACTATCACATATTTTAACGGTTGGTTAAAAGATGTTCTAAACATACAACTTAATACAGCTATGACAAAATATTTGTACTTTTGAATGACAAGTTTTTTAATCTAGACGGACTTTTTTGGATTTTTCATTTTATCCACTTTTTCTGATCAGAGGAAACAAGAAAATTTTTAAATAGAAAATAAATTTGGACTGGCAGAAGCGATTTTAAAATCCTGTGTGTTAATGTGTCCTCGAAAACAGAGACCAACGAAAATGTTAATAATCTGATTATGGAAAAGTTCATATAAGACGACGTCAGCAGAAAATGGCTATAGAGATCAGTCAACAACAGGGTTAGGGTAACGGCACGCTGATTTAGCACAGTTTGAGAGGGAGTATCGGCCTCAGTGGAATTCCTTATGCTTAACTTCGTATGTTCCGGTAGACTTCAAAATGTTGGAATGTAAATGTGGACTCGGAACCAGATAATGAATGCGAAGCTGATGAGAAGAATAGGACTCAGAATTGAATATGTCCACAGTCACAGAGCAAAATTGCTTACGGAAGCCATTATCGCATCACGTCATTCTAAGTCTCAATAGTTCACGCCGGTTGTGGTTGCATAAAACAATTCCATCACCTGACAATTTTGTGGGGCTTATTAACCAATTAACAGTGAATGGCCAGTGAGTCTTGCCGTAAACGACAAGGACTTTTATGGTGTTATGATTGGGGCCATTTGAGCGCAGTGCGTTTTCGTGTTGAAAACAGCTGAACATGGTTCGTGACGTAGTAATAAACTTACACTTTTGTATGGACAAAAACGCCAACATGTTGGTAAAATCAAGTGCAGAAATTAATGTGGCAGAACTGGCAGTATGATGCAGGTGTAACGAATAAAGGGGAAATATTAGCACTATGTGATTGTTCAGCTACCACATTTGGAACACGAATGTCATAGCCCTGGTTATTCTCGGCTTGTCGTCCGCATCCTATCTCGTCGAACCAGGCATCAGACTGTCACAGACGATAAGAGCTCAGTTACAACCGTCAATATATGTAGCACCCCAGTTCTAACACTTTTTGTTTGAGAAGATCAAGATACATTTGAGCAACCTCCATACCAACCAAACGATACGATTTACGTTTCGTTTACTGAACGCATTGTTAATACATGTGCATCTAATTCTATTACATTTTCGCACAGTTGCCATTCTCGCCTAACCGTACATTTAGCATAAATCATAGATGTCTCCATTCCGTGCCTCATAGGCTTCTCTTCAAAGCTATGGTTGGACTGGGGTACATGGTTCAAATTGGGGTTACCGGGGCTGGTCATGGTGGAAATGGAGTGGACAATTTTCGAACTTGGAACTGTTATTGCAGGTCAGCCAATGCTTGGTTCTTGATATTTGGTTCTCTTCGAAACAAACACAACCAACCTAGGTTGCAAAAAACAAATCTTAAGATGACCATAATAAATACGATAGAAAATAGTTTATATTTATCGTAGTTTAAAATGATCAAACATTTAAACGCTAAGCTCAGTAAAATAATTAGACATTGATGCTAGGTATTTCTAACACCCGTCACCTGTTTTAATTACACAATCTCTATGATACCAGCTAGTGACATTGTGACTTTGTTCGGGTTGGAATTGCCGTAATAAGTAAGTAAACAAAGCCAAGAGCAAAAACCCAGTTTCAGAACAAATTTCATTCTATGTATATGCATGTCTTTACAATTACATCAAGAAACTCAATGCCCTTTTATTAATAAGCAGTCTTTAATTCCACATGACGATTTTCTGATAGTTTATGCGGTTTCTTCCTGTGATGATATTCTTGAGCTTTTTGATATTCCGAAATAAGCAAATTGGATAATGGATAATGGTTGAATGTAATTCGTAGGTTGGGATTTTGTTCAGGTAAAAGCATAGAACCTTATGTTCTTCATATACATCCCGTTGTATTAGACCTTAAAATCCTACCCCATCCCTATGGCTTTAACAAACAGATGGCGGTGTACGTTTATCGTTCAGGAAGTTTAGCAGTTGAAGAATTATCCACTACCGGGGAAAATCGCAGGTTATAAAAATATGTAGATCGTGTCCAAAGAAACATGATACTACTTAAAAGTCAGATGCCACAAACACTAAAATTGGTCGAAAGATAATGGCAGGATTTCGAAATAGTTTGGATGTAGGACGGTCAGAGTTAAGGAACGTTCAAAAATGCCTTTCGATTTATGCATTTCTGACAATCTGTTATGAACTTGTCCCTCAGTTTCTGCAAATGAATTTACACCAGATGCACACGTATATCGATTTCATTACATACTCAATATTTGGATAGATTCGGCCATGTGCGTCGACATTCAGGTTAGCAGTTAAAAAGCGCTATAATTACCACACGTGCCGCGTTTACAGATGGCACTTGAGTTGTTAATGCTAAGTAATTTGCACATTATAAGCCCTCAGTTCAAGTTTAGTATGCTTTGAAGACACAGAAGTAGATAACGCTAAAAGAATTCGGCAGTTTCCATCAAGACTATGGTTAAAAAATTAGTATGTGGGGTTTACACAAGAAACGATTTCCGATGCAATGAACCATGAACAATAAACAATGATTTATCACGGGTAGAAAAAAGCATATGCTTTACAACTCCCGTAGGATGGATGGAGCAAAAATTAAACTTTGATGGATCATCGAATAAATAAATGGTTATTTCAAGCGTCCACCGAGTTGCATGCACTACTACACAACGATAGTTTTAAATGGGAATGGGATGTGCACACGCAAAATAATATAGAGAGCTGTTAAATTTAAGTAAGTTCGTGAGAAATAAAAAAGGAAACGACAACAACCACACCTTTGTTTCTTCATTTGACAGATGTGATTGGTTAATCCAGTTAGCTACATCTAGGCTAATCACATGGACATTATTTTATGGATCCTCACCGCCACTTTGCGGAGAGGGCCGTTAAGCACATGGTTTGGTTTGCGTTGTTTCTTCCTCCAAGTGGAACCGACTATATCAAGTAATGCAAGTTTGAAAGCCTTTCATCAAGACACGTTTTGAAAAGCGTTAATGTAGGGGCAAGGATAACGTGAGCCGGAATGGCATTCCAGGCACTGGACACACGGAGGCAGAAAACTTTGCGTCGAGAATCAAGTCGACTGTAGTGCGTAGGCAGTTTGAGCTGATTACCTCTCAGGTTGGTGTTTCGGCTCAGCTGCAACAGATTGCGACATGGATGAGTTGGGTTTCGTTAATATTAAGTAAACAAGGATTAGGTCTCCTCGCTGACGTCGATACTCACTACTGTGCAATCACAGGGACTGCAGTCTATGTTGATAAGAGTGATGAAAGAATCCTCTAACGAGTTTGGTCTCTCTAAGTTGCGGAGCTCCAAGTGCATCGACGTCGCGCCAGCGCCAGTGAGGCCATGCCTGGATCGCCTATTCTACGTGACGCCTCATCTAGGTGTTCAGCATTTGTGGAAAGATTGATGCCTCGAAATCGCCAAAAGTCTTCCTTAAGAATCCAAGATGTTGACTGGCTCTTTTTGATGCCTATCAGCCTGTGTCAAACAACCAAGGTCGTCGTGCACCATCACTCTGAGGTCGTTTTCATGGGAAATACGTTGTAAGATCTCGTCCCCAATTCCATATTCATAGATAAGCTGTAGGCGTATGCTTACTACTATGCACTTGGTCACTTTTAAAAGGAGCCGGTTATTATATGTGAACGCATAAACCCTGTCGATATCGCTCTGCAATGCCATGTAACCATCTGATGTTCCAAATTTCGATATCATCTGCAAATAGCAAGAAATTCGACTGCAGTACACTGCCAAGATCATAAAAGAATATGAGGAGTAAACGTGGCACAGTACCGACCGTAGAAGCACGCCACACTGGACGTCAATTGGGTCGGAAATGAAGCTGCGGACTCTCACATTCAGCTGATGTTGAGCGAAGAAGTTGCCAATCCAACCGAGTATATGGTCACCGATTCCATATTTTCGGAGCTTGGCAGGAGAATGCGGTGGTCCAAACGATCGAACGCTTTCGAGAAGTCCAGGTAGACAACGTCAACTCCCACTTTGGCATCGGCTGGCTCTGTCCAGCTTTCACGGCTAGCAGCAAATTTGTAGTGCAGGATCAATTTAGGCGGAATCCATGTTGTTGTGACAATAGGATGTTGTTGCTCTCAATTTATCCCATGAGCGCCTCTGCAATTATACGTTGTATTACTTTGGATAAAACTGGGAGCAGAGTAAATGGATGATAGTTCGACGGCTCCAAACGATTAACACTTGTGTAAATAGAAGTGACTACTCCAAGTTTCCACATTGTCGGAACCTGCCTTTCGTCGAGACAACGTTGAAAGAATCGAGCTTATGGTTCGACACAGTTCATGACCTCTGTCTTCAAGGCATTCGGATTGATATCGTCCACGCCAGGTGAGCTGTGCACGAGAAACATTAGCAATCTCATCACATTGGCTCTTGTGAACGATACGTGGTTTAACCCTAATGGCGAAGGAAGATGGGTTAAAAGTAGATGAAATGATGATTCACTCCGGAAATTATGGATGGATTGTTGGCGAAGCACACTGGCTGCATCTTGCGCGGTTTGCGCAAGACCATCTGTTGCACGTAGAACCGGGATCCCGCGCTGCACTCTGCGGAGCCTGTTGGCATGTGTATACAGCAAGTTCGGATTTGTGCTGAATTTTGACGCTAAGTTTTCTTGGTGCCGTAGTTTGTCTTGGCGGATCAACTTGACGCAATGGTTTCGTTGAATTGTGTAAGCACCCCAGGTCAGGTCACTTTGACAGGCTTTGTAAGCGCGCCAGGCTTAATCCCTTAAGGCCATGCATGTTCTGGTATGACTCCTCAGGAGCGAATTCACTTGCTTCGGGAGAAGCACCTAGTTTTCTGACGCCTTTGCCATTAGCTCAGTGACGAAAAATATCCAGGCGACTTTGGGCTGCTTCTCGGTCAGGGATGACCATTCGGTTTCTTGAACGAAGTTGGATAGTTTATCATAATGTGTAAGGATATGGGTTTCCAGGTTGTTCTCACTGATGTACTCCGAATACCAGATGTAACGAAAGAGCTACATAGCCTGGCCGCTACGGCCAAGTGGTACATATATGGTCACGGTGTCGACAATTGGTTCCTCGTTTGGGAGCAAAAAGTCCAAGACAGAGGGTGTGTCACCCATTCGGAATCGCGTGAGAGAAGTGACATTGTTGTACAGAGGTACATCGGAGATCACCTCCAGCAAATCCAACTTTGATTGTTTGTAGTGCAATGCTGGAACTTCGCTTGCGTGCAGGTTGATGTCCCACTCCAGAAGGACGTGACTGTATGGTTGTGCCAGGACTCGTTTCATCGTAGAAGCTAGGCATTGATACATTTTCAAGGTGGATATTGGAGGGCGGTAAACTATTGCTAGTAAACACACACCACCAAGTCTTAGGTGCATATGACACCAAAGAGCTTGGACAACTTGCTTTGCTGAGCCCTCAATGACATCAAAATGCAAGTCAAATTGATAATACAGGAGAACTCCTTCTCCTTTGCTAGGTCGATCGTTTCGTATGGAAGTCATGCCTAGTAGTGTAATAGCATTCGTGATCTCCGAGTTCAGCCATGTTTCGGTGACCATAACTAGGTCACAAGGCGTGGAGACCTGACGCATACGAAGAGCGGTGAGCTTGCTGAAATGACCTTATGCATTGGTATACAAACAGGATAAGGCATCGGTGTTCAAAAGCTTGTGTGTGAATGCTGGTTTCCGGTGAGGGTCTATGCCGAACATTATGGGGTCGGCTGCCGGTCGTTTTGTTGTAGGTCCGATGACGCATGCCCTGAGGCCAGTTCAGGTTGCCAACAATAGGGTGACCATAATGTCCTCCTTCAGCTGTCGGTGTGGTTCGGCATTGTTTCCGTTCTGAGCTACACGGTGACAGAATTGTATCGGTAAGTAGCTTGCTTAGTGTCTCATTCTCTACCTGTAGCCCGGTGCCTATTGCATTTATACGTATTTCGGATTGCAGCATTTTTCGCTTTTTGTGCCACATTTTGACCACGTGTTCTACCATCCGTTTGGAGTGTCATGATAGCTTCATCACTCGGGCGCCACACCCTTTGTGGTTAGGTGATAGCGGTAACCTTGATGTCGAAGTAGCGATAACATTTTCGCATGAGAGTACTTCATGAAGAATACGCCACTCATCCTAGTCATGCGCTTTGACCTCTAGCTCGCTTAGTGACTGGAGCTCGGGGACAACGTGCACAAGGATAGATTTTGCGTCACGTTGTTTCCGAAAGTCATCCGGATTCTGTTGGGGTTTTGGACATTCGCTCCAAGGAACATCTGGAAATATTCAAACAGTGCATTTGGTGGTACGGATGCGAGTGGCTGACAAGAGAACTACCTCTGCATCATTGCCTGACTGAAGTGTCACCTGGAGTAAATGTGGTCCACCGTAGTGTACGGAGTTTGGGTGACGGACAAGACGCATCATACTGCCTGGTTTAGCTTATACCCCCATTAGTTGACGCAGGGAGTCCCACGATTTTTTGTCTTCTAGTAGCTTAGCTTTTATGGTGTTCGCCCCGGATTCAGTCACCTTAGAGCACACAACATTTAGAGAATTATGTTAGTGCTTCATGTTTTCCAATTAGGAGAGACCAGTGGCTGCTTTCTTCGGTTGGGCAAGTGGTGGGGTCTTGAGTCCCGTGGTAGTATTGACAGTAGTAACTTGTTTGGCAACGGGCGGAGTTGCAATGGGTGGTGCCTCCGTCATACGCATAGCAACAACGAACGCGTATCTCGTCGGCCCACTAGCAGTGTTTAGTATGGCGGGATATTCTGTTGAGGAATATGTGGCGAACGCATCTTTAGGAGGAGATGCTAGTGTCGCAGTGGCTAACTTTGGATCGTTACTCTTACACTGTGCTAAATTGGAGCTTGAAATTGAGCATCGAGTTTCAGGCACCGATTTGTTTGGTTCATGTGGGACAGTTTTCACGGCTTCTGCCTGCTCTACAATATTTGTCAGCCTATCGTACTTCTGCGCTATGACAGTCAAACATCTGACGAGTGGAAGAGACGTACGCTCAGTGCAGAACCAGAGAGAATCAACCGTACTATTAAGCTTTTATACCTGGCTGTGACTAAGGTGCGCACATTGAAATTGGAAGTATTTTTGGCAGTTTATGCATTCTAGTCCAAATTGCACAAGTTTTACACAGCTGGCTACGCCACAACTAACGTTTATTTCGGAAGCATTAAGTGTTGCTTTCCCTGGGCAAGCAGTACGTGCAATTGTGATTGTCAGGTCTGCGAAGTCAGATCGTTG